GCTCCAGATTTATTAATGCTCTTAAAGATTACTTCACTTCTGTTCTAGATAATCTCTTGCGAGAGTTTTGTGTTGCAATTCACTGAGACAGGGCCAGTCTATCCACAGTGTCCTCCCAGGGTGGTAATATTGCTCATATCAGTCAGAAAATACAAGAAGACCTCATGTACAGCTATAAGACATAAAACTAAAAAGAAAAATGAGGACTGTATTAAAGTCACATGTACAATCTAGAAGAGAAAAAGACAAAAAGAGTTAATTCAGTGCTAAGAGCCAAAATCTAGTTAAATAAATGAAAATAAAATCATAATAAGCTATAAAGCTCATTAAAATAGCTAAAAATAAAATTAACGTTTTTAAGAGTGCTAATTAACCATTAGAACAATTTATGTTGACATGTGGTAGATTTTCAGTGATTTGCATACTTCAGATCTACACAGGGCTTCTTTCCAGCAGAGAACACTGTTGTTCACACCGAAGTTGTGTATTCGACACAGGAATTATTGAGTGAGAAGTTCTGATCCTTGTAGGGATCAGGTAGGGATAGGTGGATCAAATTATTGCAGCAGCCTGATCTGACCCTGAAATCTATGAATTTCCATCCCAGAAGGGCCATATGCAATTGATGCACCAACAAATGGCACATCTGGTTGACTGTCTGCGGGCAAAAGAAAATTGCAGTTCAGGGAATCAGAAACACTTGCTCTGACACAGCTACTGGCCAAAGGCCATTTCAGATGGCACACTGTGCTGACCGCAAGCCTGCTCCCACTGGACTATGTTTATGAACTGTCTATTCAGTGGCCCAAGCTTTTTCTTTCTTTCTGTTAAGATTAATAAAGAGAATCTGTGTGTATACACACCCTTGTACATCCCCCCCCCTTTTTTTTTTTAAGTGCTTTGGTTCTTTGTACAATGTTGACCGGTAAGGCAAACCCATAGAAGCCAATAATTCCCATTGCACAACACGAGTGTTTGTTGCCTGCAGCAGCTACTTAATTGGCAAGTTTGCTTCCAGTAGCTTGAACCAATTAAAAAAATTTTCAGCTCTAATAAACTGATACCCTACCACTCACCCTAGAATATTCCTTTTGTGAATAAATGCTCTACATCATCCTATGTTGTTCTGTGTCAGTGTCCCTAGGTCCCAAGAAGCACGGAACCAAAATGAAAATGCTGAAGAGCTTCCAGGATGAAGCTCCTCTTTCATGTAATTACACCTGCTGCTAATAGCCTTCCATTACAGCCACGGCATAGGTTTTGCTAAGCCATTACAAATGACTGACTGAAATTTAAAACACGGCTGCAAGTGCACTGGTTTTCATGACGAGCTTAAATTGTCAGATTTCAAATCCTTTCACCCTCTGTAAGTGACAAGGTGGGCCATGTTACAATATCTATTACCTAAAGGAAATGTTGAACTTATCACTTGGACCATCCTTGGTGTCCACCTGTGAGGTGCTTTCCTGAAAATAATGAGACTGGCTCTGCCCATTGCTGTCATCAGCTTGAGACCCGAATTCAGACACCAGGCTCTAACAAAGAGCTTGCTGCATAAATCCCGCCACTAACCACCATTGCCTTCGGTGCTGCAGCTTGTGTGAGGAGATGAATGCATAGGTAATCGAGCTTGAAATTTCTGACAAATCTTCTATTAAAAAAATGTTAAAGAAACCTCAACAAAACTAAGAGAATATGCAATTCTTTGAATTACACTCTGAGATGCTTGATTTGTTTGTTCTTATGTATTAGAAAAATCACAGTGAGTTCACACTGAAAGTTACAAAAAACATTTTCTAATTTTGAAGTGCCATTTTATTTAAACATTGCCCTCTACTAGAGCTTCTGTCTGTAGAGCACTCCAAAACTATATTCAAATACACATTGCAATTAATCAGCTGATTGCTTGTAAGTCTAAATATTGGGTAGATTAAGGATTTAGCTGAATGACAGTTTTAGATATTTTCGGAAGAATGCAGTCAGCATTAAGATAGGTAAACACAGGGATGTAAAAAAAGCAGGTGTCTGCGTATGAGCAGCATCCACATGCCTGTTAAAAGTCAGTGAAGCTTAGACAGCCAAGCACCTCACCCGACAACAGGTACCTATTTCACTGGCCCATGAAATCACATCTTTGCTCCCCTGTCTGTAGGGAGTTGAGCTTGATTCAGATGCTTGCTCATAAATCTCTGCTGCCCTTTCAGATGCTCTAAAGTATCCCGCGAGATCTGCAGCAGCAGCTGCACGCGTATCTCCCCAGACTTGCACCATATTCCCCCCTCCAAGCCCTGGGCATATGTCCTAGACACATGACAAGCAGCACCAGACATTCAAGAGTAAAGAAGGGAGCTGAGTCCTAAATCCACCCAGATTTTAATAGCGGTGCAGAGGCATAGCTCCCCTGTAGACACCTGCATTTAAGGGTTTTAACCTTCAACAGAGTGCCTGAGGCTGATGAATGGAGGGAAAGCAATTGGTTCTTCTTCCTTTAACAGCATTAAAAAAAAAAAAAATCCAGCAAAGTACATCAAAACTCTCCCCTAGAAATCATCTAGCTTATTTTTCTTCCCAGGAAGAGCTCTCTTTACATCTCTCCCTACTCAGTATTGGTTTAAGTAGCAGTTAATTAACCAACTGGCAGCCAGGTCAGATGAGACTGCTCAGATTCAGTCGCACAACACACCTCCACAATGCCCGGTGCAGAGAAAGGCCCAAGATTAAGAACTTTCTCTCTACAACTCTCATTAGATTTCAACTTTAATATTATATAGCAAATGTGACCCTTTTTATAAAAGACTGCAGCCACAGAAAGGGCTTTTTATAGTGCGAGTTGCACTTCCACACTGCCATCTTGTGTTGCTAGCAGATAACTGGTCTTGCTGAACTTCAGAGCCCAACATGCTCCAAATACTTCAGCAAGGATCAGTGGGTTTCTCTGCCTGTTCCCCTCCACAGGAGGGAGAGGAGGGAGTTTTCGTTGCTCACATTTGCCAACTCAAATTAGAAAATGCAGGTTTGAAGGAGCCCTTTTAAGCCAGGCCTTAACCAGGGTGAGAAACTCAGCTTCATATCCGCAAGAGTTTCAACTGCAGCTCTTTGAGCCCCACTAATTCAAAATCCCACTTGCTGTTTGCTCACAGGCAAGCAACTTGGTACAGGCTAATGAAATAACCCATTTGTTTGCAGATGTTTTATGGGAAAATAAAATTGAAGCCCACATGGAAATACTTGACACCATTTAGGAAAAGTCAGCCCAGCTCAAAGTGCGTCACTCCAGGCTGTGGGACACCAGCCAGTAAGCTCCAGCAGCATCACAGGTTGCTATTCTTCTCCCTCTGTGTTTTCACCCTCTGTCAATTTCCATGCCCAAATGGTTCCGAGGGACAAGGCAACACAACTGGGCTCAAGATGTAAAAGATGGCATGGCCAGCCCTGACTTTTCCCACAGTTTTGCTGCATAACCCAACGCTAGGAGAAAGGAAATCATGGATAGGGTACAATAAATTCATTGCTGCCCTGGAGGTTGAGAAACTTAAACCTGTGACCAAAAAAATGTGTCTTCCTCAGAGTATTTCAGGGCTGGTGATGGGGACTGTGGGAACGTCCACCCTACCTTACCCACCACCCTACCATAAAAGAAGGCTGAAAACCAGACAGTGCAGAGAGGCACTTGCACCATCTCCATTAGGTATTGGTCTTAACCGAGAGCCAGATCTGCAGAGCATCTACTTCAGGTTCCTACTGTGAATAGCTCTCAGGGAAGCAATCTTCTTCCACGAGCAGCAGAGAGGACCCCAGGCTCTCAGAGGGTTGTGTGAATGGGCAAAGTGAATATCCCTCCATAGTCTGCATATTTGGAGACTAGGGTCTCCATACCCCAGAGTTCTCACCTGTGGTCTACTGTGTCGTAACTTACCACAGAATATCTTTACCAGTCCACTTCACAGGAGACACTTTCACTGAATACCAAAAGCTAAGGCCAAGTCACAAAGGTACTTGAACAACAAGCTTGGCAACTTTGAGTTGATGAGGCACTTTAGATGTGTTTTTTTTAAAGCAAAATTTGAAGATCATGTTTGGTGCTTCGTAATTCAGCATTTATTACCAGGGAAATCCCTGGCGCAAGGCATAACCCATCTGCTCAGGGGAAAGTTCAATGGAGTGAAGCAGAACAGCAGACAGGCAGAGGAGTTAAAAGCAGGAGTTACAGGAGGCCCACACAGGTGAAGTTCTCCCACTACACCAAAACAGCATGATCTTCCCTTGCTGCCACCAGCTGTCACAGGCACGACCTCTCTCCCCAATCTGCTAGCTCTCCTGCCCATCCCTGAGATCCTCTGAGAGAAATCAGCACCCTAAGCTGTTTTGGCTCCTTCACTGCAGCTCCTCATGGTGCCACATACAAGTTCAAACTCAGAGCCCCATCACCCTCCTACACGTCCCAGCTGTCCTCTTCCTCTGTTTCATCCACAAAATGCTCCCCCTAATTCCTCTGATCAACGTCCCATGTTTTCTTTCCTGCTTCCAAGGAAGGAAGGGTACATAACTGGACACGAAAGGATTTGAGGAAGCCACTGACCAAAGCAACCACTGAAAAACATATAGTGCATATTCCACCTGTATTTTCAGAAGGAGCAGCACCAACATATTTTCAGCACCTCAATTCTAGCCACAGCAAAGAAGTTTTGGGGAACCTCCACTGCTTCCAATTGTTGTGCTTCAGGAATGAGCATACAGGACAAGGAATCAGCCTCATCACTTGTGTTAAATGCTGGAGAGAGAGAGCATGAGAAGCTTGACAGAAGAACTACATACAAAACCTGAAATCTACTGTGAAGGAAAAGAGAAAAGCAAGAACTATTGCTCTTACACATATTTAGGTGGACATTTTAACACTTTCATAAAAAATATTTTCCAAAAATGAAATTCAAACAATTCTGTATTTCAGCAAATCATTTTAGGCACATTTAGTTGGATAGAAAGAAAACAAAAACTTCTAATAAATGCAACATCAGAAATTTTATTTACAAATATACTGCAATTCAACAACCATTCTCCACTCAGTTTGTGGAGGAAAAAGTGATAGTTACATTTTCCAAATGGGAAGAGAACTCTTCCCCTTAAATGGATTACACAGAATATTATGTCAGCACCACTGAGCAAACAGATTATTCTTTGTGTTTAAGTTTCAAAAAAGCACATAATTTTAGAAACCAGCATATGGAAAGCAAACACATTTGTGTGCATGTAAATGCAGCTTCATATTAATCTAGAGAATTCACTTTCAGTATATGTCAAAAATAAAGACAGCAATTGCAAATATATATTTATATTAACTATTTCTCTAATGCTCATTTCAAGAGCTTAGAAACAAAATACCCTCTTCATATACCATTGGAAAGTCAACTAGTTGATTATAAGCCTCAAAAATATTTTGAAGTTATTACTGAAAATATACTTATTCTCCCTTGTGCTCTCAGCACTTGAAGCTGAAAAAGTGAAAGCATTTTCCCCAGATATTTCCTTACTGCAATTACTTTCTTATAAATAAAAATAGTTATATGAAGAATACAATGCATTGCTATGAAGGCTAGACAAGCAAGAGTTACTCTTAGAAAAAACACACATACACACAATATATATATTTATAGATCTACAGCAGCATCAATCACCTCTTCTTTTATCTGCAACAGTGGTTTCATATCTTCATTTGCTTCACATGGAGGTTGGTTGTCCAGCTGTTAGAGAGAGGCAGAAGAAATTGTAATTTAAGTCTAGCTACTGAAGAATCTTAGTGACAAAAATTAAAATTTCCAAGTTAAAAGTTCTCAGATAATGGTATTTCCAATATCAATTGAAAATGGTAACACAAACTAAAGCATACATTCTGCAACACAAATTTGAGTTTGATCTAATTATAGCACTGCAAGTACTTCAGGCTAACTAATATTCCATAGAACATGCACCTTACCAAGTTTTTAAGAATTATTTTTAGTATTAGCATAGAGACAGGGTGACAGATTTTCTAAACTTACCCTTCAATAACCAAACTAAAATTTGCTAAATAACTTTAGCAATTTTAAAAATGAACTTTTTTTATCCTCTCTCTGCATGTATTTGTAGGCATCTGCTAATACACTGGTGTTTTTCTACAACGTTACAAGTTTAAACCACAAAATTAACATAAAAAGGAGCAAAAATATCACACCATAAAATTACTTAGTGAATATTAATAATCCTACAGATTATGAAACCTTTTAGCCAATATGTTTATGTTCCAAACTAACGAATAATTAGCCAGGCTAATGTAAAATTCCCAACTGCAAACAGAGTAATCTGCATTACAGACCATTGCTGTGCTGTCAGTATATTTTCACTACGGTAATCATATAGCTGGTTTTTGTATTATTCAAAGAGTTAATGTCAATTACTAATCACTAATTTCAATGCTTTATTCTGTACCTACAAGTTCTTACAATTCCTGATTTACTCGTATCTCATACAATTATGTTTTGAGGTGCCCACTGGCCCAAGAAGATGCAGTCTGAAGGGAAGGGAATAGAACCATTTCTCACAGCTCAACTCTGCTTCTGAAAGGCACTGCCGTGACTTTATGGGCTGTAACGTCAAAGAGAGACTAAATAGTCATTTATCCACAATAAAATTTTTGCTTACTTCCATCACCAAATTCCTGAATACTGTCTTGCCAGGAAATAATAAAAAAAGCAGGGTTTGGTTTTTTTTCAGTACCAAACTCATACAACTCATACAGCAGTTTTGCCTGCTAAAAGAAAAGATAAAGCAAAAATAACATGAGTGGTCTCCAGATTGAATCTTCCACACATCTGGGTGCTTAAAATGGGAACATGGTCACTTTGGTGTAGTCTTGTCATCAAGCAGGAGATAAATTCTCCAAATGTTAATTCAAAGAAATATGACCCAGTGCTCTGGATCACCTCCAGATGGAAGGGGATGATTCTCTTCACCCCTTCCACTGATCACAGCAGCACCCTTACACCTGACACTAGCCTCTGTGAATGCACTGTTGGCATCAAGGAAAAGCGTTGAGGTTTTCTGGTTTTAGCTCAGGCACCACACAATTATTTCTGTGTGGTGCAGCCAGCTTTTCCTCTTCCTAGAAGCCAAAGAGAGCCTGAAAACAGCAACAGCACCAGATGCAGAGCTTCTCTTTTTTTGGGCCAGGCTTCTCAGACAGCAGATGCCTTCTCGTCCACCATGAGAAAAATGTGCCAGGCTCATGAAGAAACACGGACCTGTTTCCCAGGAAGTAATGCAGAAATGCTTTCCCTTAGCTAAGTTTTATCATTCTGGAGAATTCCATATTTGCTACATAAAAACAGAGCCACATAAAACTCCTGAGACTTGTCAAAATTAGGAGGTTGTCTACCATCATCTGTGATAGCAGGAAAAAAACAAAACTCAACACCATTATTCAAAGCCTTAACATCATGCTCCAGTAAATCAGAATTCTGCAAAACATAATAAAGGAAAAAAATTATACTGCACCTTTTAATTAAGATCTGTAAGTAAATCAATTCCTCCTGAACTTGTACCTAAATGAATAACCAATCACAGACCTATAATTCAAATAACAATAGCATTGCAAAAAGAAACCAGCATTTGTGCCACCTGCACAGCATAAACTAATAGCTTTCCAGGCATGTGTTAGGACTGAATTAAATACATATTCAGATTACTTTTTTTAAAAAAAGTAGACAATTTTTCAAAAAGACTTCTCTGTTATCAAGACAAGCCTGTTCAGCAGCTGACAACTCCTTGACACCACTTTCTCAGATCTATGAAGAAAGCAAGATGACTACACTGCGTTGTTTGATGCTTCTTAATAATACAGTGGTAAAATCAGCTACCAGTAAGTTAAAAGTTAGGAATGACTACCCTACAAAAGACAGAAACTGGCAATCAAACCTTGCTGAACCTATTCACTGACATACCAAATTAAAGCTAAACGTGAAAGCTATCAAGTGGCTCAGCTGGGCAAACACTTGAGGTTTTACAGTATCGAGAAGAACTACAGCCATGCACACCACAGTCTGGTTGCCTTACTTTTAAATCTGATATAGCAGTCGTTGCAGAAGAGTTTGTTGTTTCGGATCCTGACTTCAGCTCCAGCACGGGATCCCCCAAGGTCACATCCACAGGCAACACACTGTATAACAGATCAATAATTAGTAACTCCTTACAAAATACTAAGAAAAGAAAATGTTGTTCAAAAGCAGCTTGGATTAAGCTAACGAAGCTTGAACCATAAACCCACAATCACTAGAAGCAAATGTATAATGATTAGTAGATCAAAATGCAACCAACTCTGAGAAAGTATTTTAAGGTGACAACTGGACAATGAATAGCAGATATACACCAACTAAGCAAACAGAGCAGGCGGTTTTTAGAGATTAGTTCATTAAATCTAATTTGAACTTCAGTTTCTCTGAAAACTAGAACCGGCTCGACATGAAAAAAAATTGTTCTCTAGATGGCAACAGCAATTTTGGCACAGAACACCTGGGTGTGCTACTTGCAGATTTCCATGCGGCACTATATGCTGCTGGCATGCTCTGCCCTTTGGCACTCAAGGCAGCAAATACTCAGACACCCCCAGTTTCCTAGGTTTGCAACAAGTTCTTATTTTGAGAGAAGGGGCTGATTTCATTTTTCTTGAATAAACATGTGAATGAGGGGCTCAATACCTTTCATGCTAACACTAAACTATTTAACTACGGTGGCTGAACATGTCTTTGCTGTGAATATGAACCACCTCTGGGAGGAATGTAACTCAAAACATAACACCTTCCTTCCTGAATTTACGAACCAGAGTACTTGGCTATCTACAGAAGGACAGATAGTTTTCCTGCTTAAATGAGTAATGAATCTCTTGGATGGTAGCCTGTTCAACAGCTCATTAATCTTCAGAAATTTGAAAAAACAGAAATTTGGTATTTTCTTAAGTAGGTGAGGAGCTACAGGTGGACCCCCTCGCACAGAACACACGTTCTGCAGAAAAAGAATGACAACCAGTCCCCATCAATTACTCCTGTCCCTCCTGCTCAGGCAGGCAGGACCAAGAAGAGCTTTGAGTCAATCCCTTGTAATACTCCTGGTGATGCATTTGAGCTGGGCACAGAAGACAAGTGCTCTGAACCAAAGAACTGTATCTCTTAAAGCCGTGGAACAAGTAGGGTTCAACAGTACCTCCAAATCAGAGGCTAATTCCTCATCTCGTCGTAGGGCAGGGGAACCACAAGTGCTATTATATCTTTTGCAGGTAGGCATTTTTTCTTTCAGTGCATATCTATGTCTCAGTGCTGAGCATGAGCTAACACACCTAGCCTCTTGACCAGGGTTGAGTAGCACTAAATACAGTTTCTGGTTTGATTCTGGGTTTTATCCTGCCAGGTTGAATGTTGCCAACATGCCTTTGCCTGGAAAACACCACATGAACATTGTCTGCTAGGATTAGCTTTGAAGTGATGGGTCATCTTAAATTATTCAATTGCCAGGGTCCAGGCTGAGATATTTCTTTTTCTAAGGAGCTGGTTTATCTAGAAGTGGCTCAGCACCTTCTGATTATCTGCTGCCTATTCGAAGAAGGAAGAACTTTGATCTCACAGTCAATGTGCCCATCTTACTTGTCCTACTTGTTAGCTCTGGTACTTAAGAAATACTTCTAGAGTTGAGTGCTAAATGCCTGCAGATAGGACTGCCTCATGGAAATATGCATGCACGACACTGTCAGAGTAGAAGGCAAAGCAAGTGATTAGCAGAGCCCCTGTGAGCATAACACCAAGTAGCCATGCGTGCTCCTGATTAGTTCCTGTTCCTTTACGATGTGACTCCCAGCTCTCACCTTAAAGCAATGTAAATGATAACAAAGACCAAGAGACTCAATGATCATGGCTGCTCCTTTGCCCAGAACGTTATTACAGTATGAACAGATTTTCTTCCCACTGACTGACCTAAATATAGAATGAAAATCCTTAAAACCAGCTTGAAAAGGGTAAGACAGAAAAGTTATCAAAGACTTTTTCAGATTAAAAATAAAAGCACACTGGTAAAAAGTGGACTATTAGGCTCCTTGGAGAAAATAAACTGAAAATTAATACTATTTACTGTAGATCTGAAAGCTAGGGAAAGCTGAAGTGTTATAATTTAGATCCACATTAAGCAGGAACAAATTAAGAAATTCTGAGACATTCTTGGGAGATATTTCCTTGTATAGAATACTTTCTACAAATAAACATTGAAAGTATATTGTTATGTTTGGAGAGTGAGAACACAGGTTTTGTGCTCCTGCCTTATTTCTTATTCACAGAGAGTTATCCCAAAGGCTGTTTCAGCAAGCACCCCACCAAGTACCACCATCTGCACCTTGTTAGGTAACAGAAGGCTAGTCAGGGGCACATAATATTATGTCAACTCTTTGAACATAAGCCACAAGGAGGTCAGTTTCCATAGATCTACCAAGATGTTAGCAAACGGAAGTGAGAACAAGATAAGGAAATATGGTTAAGAAGGCAATTTTCTTACATTATAAAGAATGTAGGAGGCCTAGCTTTAAAAAAAAAAAAAAATTGGTGAATTTATCACAAAGTGTCTGAGAGCATAAGAGCTAGTGAAGCACTGTTCACACTGTTGTTATATATAATGCATGTAATTGTGTGGGGATGATTCTCTATTGTCTTATCCCAAGGCATTTTTAAAATGTTTCAAGTACTTAAAACAGTAGTTATCTACCCTACCACAACTGAATTCCATTTTTGTTTCAAAATATGTTGCAATTCTCCTTTCTCCTCCTAGATTAAAACTAACATCCTACTCTGTAATTCTGCAGGGTCATGGGTTGCGAGCATTCCTGAGTGCTCCTTTGAGATGATACTGACCACATGCCAGGAAGGAGGGAGGAGAGACCAAGATGAAGGCCATAAAGCGTGGGTTTCAGGAATCTTTTGTTAAAACAAACCTAAGAAAATAAATGTCAGAAATGCCATCTGGAGTAGGCTTTTACTAATCATTTTGGTAACCAACATACACAGCTTGGAGACTGGAGATTTATTATTCTAGTTCCTTTGTTTTTTTTAACCAATGTCAAGCAGTGATTACAAACCTGGAGAATTTTCTGAATGGCTGGAGCAGGGAGGTAATACCATCATGTATTTCCACCATCCCATCCAGCCAGAAAACTTCAGGTACTTTTCAGACTTGTTAGTCAATGCTATGGGCAAGAACACTGCTGTAGACCACCATATACACAGAGTCCGCTCTGTAGCGCAGCCCGACATTTATACCTTCCCAGCAAAAGGGCACCTGCTCACCTGCTGCGTGTCTGGGACCCTGGCTGGGAGGCAGAGAGGGGAGACTGAGCCCGGGGGGCTGTCTGGGACACGGAGGGGGCTCTCACAGAGGTTGCGGCAGGAGGTGCTTTGCTGGAGGAAGGAGTGCACATGTAGGCTCGGTTTGAAGTGGACACCGGGCGACTGAAATCTTGAGTAGAGGACAAAGATGAAGAGGACGCAGACTGGTTCAACCGTGAGTGGTGCCTCCATGAGCTCGTTCTTGAAGAATCAAGATTGTCCAAAGACTCCCCTCTGCAATATAGGTACACATACAAATGTAAATGGCAGTGCAGCTGGAGCAGAAGAGCTAGTATATTCTTACTTTAAAAAAAAAAAAAAAAAAGGAAACAATTATCCTAGCACTTTTAAGATTTTTCTACCGTGAATATGTTTGTCTGATCACCCTGAGCAATATTCTTCACATACTGATTTAAAATGTTTGAGCTGCAAATTATCCTTTGTGTCCAGTCCTAGACTCATGGGAAAAAAGCAGGCCAGGCGAAAGAGAGGTGGCACTCAACCACTACAGAATAAGGCAAAACACTCTTCACTCCAGTCTTATCACGGTGAACAGTATCAAAATCCACTGCACAGCAACGGACCTCAGATACCAGGTTTGTTTTTGTTTTCTCCAAGGGATACCAGATTGAAATAGCAATCCGCCCGGACTGGATAGCATCGTCTAGGTACAAGGTGTGGGCTCAATAGCCAAACACTCTCCTGACTGATAACTCGGCAGTTTCCTAAGTGACAAATCCAACATTCATGTATTACTTAAAGCAAGAAATGAACTCCAGACTTTCTGACATATTTCTATGTAAAAAAGGGTACACTCCATAGCCATAATAACAACTTTCCACAATAAATTGTCAAGCTGAATTTCTTAAGCACATCTGTCAATGCCAAGGCACACTTACTGATTTCCACTGCTGGACCAAGAAATAAGCAGCTGAGTTATTTACAAGTCACACCCACATTCTTTATTTGCAAAAACCATTTAATCTCAGCTGTAATACTGCTACTTTCTTCTATCTGTGCTGCTATTGAGTTTACCTTACAGCATTTCATAGATTCAATTTGTTTCTGTGCTCTGTAACAGAAGCTGAAGTTTAGAATAACCAAACAAAAATATTTGACGAGAGACAAAGTTAATTTTTAATGCGATTCCTACCTCCTCATACTATTGCTGTACAGACTAATGGGCTCCTTATGTACACTGGAACTGCGCTGCCTTATCCAGCTGCTGTCCGTGTGTAGAGAAGTTTTCTTTCTCATTTCCTGAAGGATTTGCTGTCTCTCCAACTCTGCCGCAGACAGGTTTTGCTCCTTTTGAGACTTCTTCTGCGAATCACCTGTATTCCAGGACCTCTCTGAATACTTGCTCTGAGTACCTGTTTGGACAACACGTGCAAACTTCAGCTAGACATCTTAAGACACAGAAGCAGTTATCACACATCCAGTACTCTGGCTATAACCACAGAAGCAGCTGTTCATCATCAGATCCACGAATTTATCCGGTTCCTTTTTACAGCGGACTGACCAGTATCAAACTTGGCAATACACCACTATTATCACAATTTTTTAATTCATGTTTCCAGTAATGTGGCCTTTTACATGATGTTTAACTTAAATACAAGTAGGTATTTTCCTTTACTTCCCAAGTGTATAAGCCTGTATTTTTGTGTGTGCATATATACACACGCACATATACCTATTTTTAAAAGGGCATGATCTCTTTTAGTGCCACAATCTGGACTCTTTCTCCAACACAAACTGAAGCATGCATAGAAGAGTTGCTTTGGTTTTTTTTTTTTGTAAGGTGTCCCTGTTCTCAAGCATTCTTTCCTTATTCAAGGCATTAAAACACATTGCTTTATCTTGCTTTATATAAACATATATCTATATGCATGTAGGGAGGAGAGAGAGGGGTAAATCTTACAGAGAGTTTCTCTATTATTTGGATGCTGTGTTAACTAGTCAGTTGAAATGAGATCTATGGTACAGAAGGCCTTCGAAATTTTGGAAGAGGAAACAAACAAGCCATCTTTCTCCAATATGTGTTGACATGTTAGAAGGCAACAAATTTCTATTTCCTTGAGCCAGTAACTATCCTTTACAGTAAGACTAATTAAGAAAATTACTCAGCAATAAGTCATTCAATTGAAATTTCAGTCCCTTTAAATACCCCTCTGACTATAGATTTGCTCTTCATTTTATTGTTATAGACAATCATTATAAAATATTGTTGAAGCTTATTTGCTCACTAGTTTCAACGGCCACGCTTTAATGTATGAAAGCAGCACTGTCAATCTGCAATATATCCTCTAATACACCATTTACTTTTCTATGATTACTTGTGATTGCTTTTTCAAACCATACTTTAAACACAGGAATAGCTTTCAGTCATTTTCTACTGTAACATATTTATAAAACTTGTTTGTTTGCTTTACACACATTCCTCAAAAAACACAATAATGTAACTGAAGGACAACTCAGGAAAGGCACGAAAGAACTGGAGTCCCGGAAACAAGCCACTGTGACAGTATCAAGAGCTGACTTTCAGCTGTGTTACTCCTACACTAACAAGTTAAAAAGAGCAAACTGTTGTATTAAATACATTTGCATCTTGGTATGTGCAGCATTTTTTATTGACAGAGTCAACATATCATGAGCACATACATCTTCAATGATACACTTACACGATTGCTTTAATCTCACATAAATATCAGCCATCTCAAATTTAGGCACTTAAGATCTATTTGTAATGACTGCTACGGTCTTCAAGAGAGCAGTTAATTGTATTTGTGCTAGGCTTGCATGTTGACTGTATGAGTTTCCTCTTGCTTCTTCCTTCATTAAATTGTGGCATGGTATGAATTTGAATTACAATGTAGCTACCAAAAAGCACTTTGTCAATTAATTTTCTTAGGATGACTACATCCAATACACCTTTTTTCAAAAAAATAGATTTTAAAAATAATGGAAATTAAACTGTACTTACCATTTCTGACTGTGTTGAATTCATTCAGTTCTGAAGTCGACTTGGACTTATTCCTAAGGATACAGAAAACATTCATTTCTCTATCTCAACTAGGAGACCTCATCACACACAAAAATCTTATCATTACAGACCACAGATACACAGCCCGTTTTTTTACTATCCCTCCCATCAACAATTTATGCTGTACTTAAAACATGAGATAAAAATACCCGAAGATCAACAATATATTAAGGAGGAAAAAAGACATCAATATTAAATGTCAATAGGTAATCACCGATTAAAAGTTAAAATTGTGTACTGAAAGTTCCCAGTGCTTCAGGTATAATGAGTTTCAGACAAAAAACATCATACAGGAAGACAAACGGCAAAAAGCTGGTTTTCTGAGAGTACAGAGCAGGAGCTTCAGCAACACCTCTGTGCTGTATTATTATCCTCAAGTAATACAGACAGTTTCTTAGTTTAAAATACTTTGGAAAAGAACAGAAATCCTTTGCTGGGTCACAGCTCAAAGCTGCTACAGCAACATGTTCACACATGCAGCATTGGCTGCACAACAGTCTATTGAGGGAGTCTTGTTTTCATCTATAGATAAATGATGCATAAACAAACTGCATCGCAGTTGTTGCTCCCTCAAGCTCTGATTATCTGTTTTCTTATCTGATTGAGAAGATGTGACAACTTCACAGTTGCTTGTAGTGAAGAGGAGCTCCAAAGAGCAGGTCAGCCTTGCCTAGGATGCTTTCTTTTAGCACCTGAGTGTTCTCCCCAAACATATATACAAGATGTAACTGGTTAGTGCAGACACTTTCTGAAGGCAGATATAGATCTTCTGTTAGTAACAGATTCATTAGTTGTACCCTGTCAGTTTTGGGGTTCCTCTTAATATAAAAAAAAGCTATGCTCACTCCAACTAGAATAACTGACTAAATATGCAGCAGAGGTGATCTTTCAGAATTACTGTGAGATGCCATCTAAGACAAAGGCCTGATGCTAATGTTCTGGATTTAGGTTACTTCAGCATTTTTTAACCATAGCTCAGTTATTAAAAGGTAGAAGAAAAGCTGACTATTCAAAGAGACCGAACCTGCAGTGGTTAATATATTCTATTGAAAACAAAACAAAACAAAACAAACCCAACAATAAAACCCCCAAACAAACCATGAAGCAAAACAAAATAGAAAATAGTCAAGGAAAGACAGCGTAACTTAACAAGTGGCACATCTGCTATCTTCCTGATAAATATGTTGCTGTTGCCTCTTACTTCCCTCCCTGTTTACTCTCTTAACTTGCACAATCCTGACTGGGATGACTACACCTTAGTTGGTACAGCACGTTACAACACAACCACAATATTATCTGAAATTGCTTTCCAACCAGATAAGTCTAGCATCACCCACACATATTTACTTCCATATAGTTCTGCTTCTCTCAGTAAAATACTAAGTTGTTGTTTACAGCATAGCATGTAACTAGCCAAAAGTTTGGCTGCTTGTTTTGTCAGTATGAAAACATGCCATAAAAACTGCAAAACACAGCAGCAATAGAAAGTATACACTTAGGTGTAGTGGCTAAAGTTCATTAGAAGTTTCAAAGCTTTCTGATACAGAAACGGTGATGTTACAGTCTGTGCTGAGATTCAGTATCACACATACTTGTCAGCAAATGACTGACCAGGCTGCTCCTCGATGGTTTTAGAAACTTCATAACGCTCATAATGCCTATAAAAAGAAAAAAATAATGTATAAGATACTTTACGTTCATATACAGGAAAAGACATACACAGACACAGGCATAAATATTTCCTACTAAAAATATTCAAAACAGAACCTTAAGGGAAAAAAAAAGGAAAAAACCCCACACAGTTAAAATACTAAGGAGGCTTAATCTTATCAGTCCGAAGCACAGTTAACAAAAGAAGGAAGAAAGGCTGTCAGAAAAACTGCCTGAAATTATGTTTTTGTAAGTGACAAAGAATGCAAACCTGAGCATGCCAAAATGGTTAATACCTATTGCTGAAGATGTTTCAACCTACCTATCCATTCATTTTCTTATTACCTGTCAATGAGAGGATAGCCAGCTCGATCCTCTATTGTTTTAGATACTTCATAGCGCTCATAATGTCTAGAAGCAAAATACAGATCAAAGAAAATATGTATTAAAGAAAAAACATTTTCTAGAAATTGAACAAACGCTAAGCAAACATAGAGAAAAATGAGAAAATTCAGATGTGTGTGTTAGAAACATGAAAATACATGAGAAAAAGACCCCAGAGACTTCTTAAGATGCTGCAAAATTTACAAGTATCAGTATATGACAATGATTATCTCATCCGTTTCAAAGCCAGGAGGTAAGCTTTGTGCAAACACAAGAGTTCTCTAGAAGTTACACGTATATACTAGCAAATTGTGGCAGTGCTGTTGGTAACCCATAGGGAAGCACTCACTAACTTCCACAGACAAGGCTCTTCCAGCTGCCTGTCTCCAATCTCAGTGCTTCTTGTAGCAAGTAGCATGCCTTCACAGATGTTTATATAACATTTTGGATTTCAAGTCATAACTTTGGATATCACCATAAAGCAAACGTTTAACACTAGATATTTTAAACCCCAGTTTCACTGGATTTGTTCCCTTGCTGTTAAGCAAAACCATCTCTGTTTACCAAAACACATCCTTTGGCAGCAACCTCAGAAGCAATAAAATCCCCCGAGACTAAAGCACATATCAAGGATTTAGATATGCAGATATTGCAGCAGCTTAACAAGCTGCCGCACAAAGTCCTATTATCTTGCAACTGGGGCAAGCTAAAACTGTAGAGATACCCTGCCTCAGCTGCCAAGAACAACCTGTTTAGCCATTGTAACAACTGTGCCTCTGCTTTGCTCAGCAGGGATCTCAAGCAGCTAAAGTAACTCCAGGTCTCACAATCTCCCCTGCAAATATATGCAATTTCATAATCATATTTTGTTCTCCTAAGACTTGACACCATGCGTTATCTTCAGTCACGTCTTAGTATAAGAACAGAGGAAAATCCTCAAGAGAAACAGCAAAGCTAGTCATACACAAGGCAGTAAGCTAAATGCACAAGAAATAAGGAAAAGTTACTGTTTTAATCTGTTTCGGACAGATTAATCTCCCATGATACCTGTAACTGTATTCTGAAAACTGATAGGCAAGAACACACGCTTGTAAACCAATAGTTGGGGTTTTTTGTTCTGGCTTTTTTTTTTTTTTTAAAAAAAAGAGCTGCTGAAGAAGGCAATGGAACAAAAATTTTCATGCTTTAGAATAAATTTATCTACAGTGGGTATTTCTAACAGGCTATGATATCTAAGACATCATCTGTTCACTCATATACCATGATACCCCTCATCGACACATTAACCCAGCAGTGCAGTTAAACTTTATTGTTGCACTGTTGCACTAAAATGAGGGAGGAGTCTGGAAAATCAGTCACACATTTACTGGAAAAGGGTTAACTTGGTCTGTCTTCTGAAAGCACTGTATGTTGAGCTGCTGGCTCTCAATTTACAAACTTATGCAGGGTTCTTCCCACTAAGTGCTTCAGGTCATCTTTGGGCTATAATTACTGTATTTATACTTCTTATTTAAAAAATGAGCAGAAACGGGTTAATAGAGGACTTGATTCATGGGGAAAGACTTTGTCTTATGCCTTAATCTTCTACCTTTAGAAAGAAAGGCTATCCAGTGGTATCTGGCACTGACTGATTAATCTACAGTACGAATCTTACATGAATATGCTTGTATATTCAGGACATACGCACTCTCTTTAGAAATGTACTTCAATTTTTAATGCAGAAGGAAGAGAGAGCACATCCCATCACAAGTACACACCTTTGGTACTGAGGTATCTCCACCGACGCCTCCCTCTGCCTTTCAGCCTGCCGCCTCTGCCCCTCCATTTCTGCCTGCCGCCTCTGCTCCTCAGCATATTGCTGTTCCCTCTCTTTACGTTGTCTCTCAAGCTGCAGCTCCTGGAGTTCCCTTTCTTGCTCAAAACGCAGGGCTGCTTCTTCCTGGATCCTTCGTTCCTCCTGAAGCCTCCTTCTTTCTTCTTCCTCATCCAGCAAGTGTGCTGCCAGCTCACTTCCTCCATCTCCTTCTGGCTCCTCAGGAGTACTCACTTCAGGGCTTGCTCTCCAGCTGGACACTGATGGAGCCCGTGCAGTGACAGATGTTGTGTTTAAGGTTAGAACAGTCTGCTCCTGTAGCAAAGAAAAAAGAATATCATGTTTTTAGGGAAGGGAGCTGTTTTTTAAACAGGTTGCTCACTCAGTGTCCTTGTTTCGGCTGGAAAAGTTCATTTATTCTATGAGGGAAGACTGTGTAAAAAGCATCCCAAGCACTTCCAATGCAAGATCCCGGGCGCACTTGGGTTTCATGCTTTGAATGTCTGCAACCACCTTTTCCTAATGCAAAGGCTTCATTCCACGCAGCAGCCTTAGCAAGCAACACAGGCAGCATGCCCACAACTATGCAAAACATTCTGCTTTGTAAAGTATCCCTTATATTTCAAGCCATCCCATCTCCATTTAAATACCCATGCAAAACAAACTCTTCCATGATATCCAGCATTTCTCCCTACTGTTTTGACTTAGAAACCCGAGACCTATGTAAGAGTGTATACACAAAGATATACATTGCAAGTGTACATAAGACCAATGAACTTCGCAAGAATCCTGATGTGAAGGAAACCCCCACATTCCTCTTTTCTCCTACCATTTGAAAGTCAAGCCTCAGACCTACCACTCTATGACTCTTCTCTCAAATATGAGAAAAGGTCTTCACTGGTCCAAAGATGTTTTAGTTGCAGAGAACTAATACTGTTTATGGGTCCATCCAAACCTCTAATGATAGAAAAAATATGAAATGGTTTACATTCCTATACAGCAAAGTCCTCTAATAGCTGTTTCTTACTGAAGTCCTAATCCTTCAATTACAGTCTATTTATTTGTGACTGAATAAACATCACTGATTAGTTAGGATGCCTGAAGCAGTACTTGCATAGCAATAAAGGAGAGAGACCTCACACACCTCTCACACTAAGGAAAATAATCTGTTAATCTTCCCATAAGCAACAGACACAAAAGTCAGCATCTACATAAACTAACATGCATTTGATATTTTGAAACATATGATAGCAAATCTGAAGCTGATTTCACACGTACATTTATCAAAATATGATGAACTTGTTGCCAGTAACAACCCAGGCACTTACGAACATGCCTCATGAGGAAGCATTGAAGCATAATTCCATCAAGTACCTTCAGGAGGTAAATAATACAGCAAAGGTGACCATTTCATTCTGGTCACAATAATTAATACATGCTGTAACTTTTTGCCAACATAGTTCTGGTGTTAATTACCGAACCAATCCATAAGACAAAAAGTCAAATTCAACAGGTCTCAAAACATCCCATTTACTCCTTCCTTCCTTTTTTGCAACCTCTTTCTACTAAGTCACAGACAACAATTTATTTTGCAAAATGAAAAGATATATAACATAGCAAAATAAATTATTTGCCTGCTTGCATGCATCTACTATAAGGGAAAAAGGCCATCATGAAACTAAACTGTCAAAGGTGAAGTCATATTCGCAGTCTACCTCATCAAAATACTTGGAGCTTTCTTTTTCTGCTTCTTGCTTAGCTCGTAGCCATTCTTCCCTCAGTTTTTCTTGTTCCCGTTTGTATTTCTCCTGTTAGGTTAGATTGAAGTTAAACACACAAATAAGAACATGGTATTTTTTATTTGCACTAAAATGTACTACTGGTATTTACTGTGGTTTTTAACAGACCAGCATAAAAAAACAAGCTTGAGCTCCACTAGGACATTAGGTCTGCCATGAGGGAATTAAATCCTGGCTCAACTACAGTCCAAAGGAGTTCTGCAATTGATTTTGGAGAATCCAAGCTTATTACATGCTAAATCTTGTAACAACTGACTTCACATCTGTCACATTCACCATCTTACAGTTTAGTTCCCATTTGAACAAAAACCAGCTATCCAAAGTATTTCTTAAAAGATGAAGTGATTATATTTAGCTTGGAATTGGGCACATTAATGTGGTAAATACAAAGTGATCACTAAGTGAAATATGAGCCAGTAATCTGGTTTGAGCAAGAACTCTTGGTCTTCTGTAGCATTATCTAAACAAAAGCCAATTTCTGGACCTCCACATTTGTCCTATGACTAGATTTGATATGAAATTAATGTAATGTCTTAAAGCATTACTCCAGGTACACAATAAATGTTTTGGTGATTTTGTCAGCCACCACTTACATCTTGGGAAAAGCAAAATATTTAATGTTGTCAAAAGAATTCCTTCTAAGATGTTAGAAATAAGCAAAGACAGACTTTCCCTCCTTTCTCTGTTATTTGAAAATGTATTACTAGGATCACGAGGAAGAGAAAGAACAAATTTACTACTTCAGGACTAAAAAAGGAGAAGCAAAGAAAAGTGATGGCAAAGAGATGAGATTGTTCTCAAGAAAGGGGAGGCAGGGTTTACATTCTTTAAAGCCATCTCTTCAGGCACAAAACAGAGCGCCCAAACCATAAGAGAGACCACAAATATGTTTAGGAAGGCACAGCTCTTGCCTTTCCGAGTTTGTAAGCTAAAAGGAATGATGAAAGAGAAAACATCCAAAAAGCAACAGAGTTTCTACACCGTACTTTGACATCATAGTTTTCTTCCGAATGCACCAAACTTATTATGAGGGCTTAAGCAGAGTAAATGATGTTTACTGATGTCTCTCCTAGCCAACAGAATTTAGATAACCAACTTTAATTTCCAGAGATGTGTGCTTTTTTTTTTCATGCTATCCTAAGATGACAAACACTACCCCTTCCCTTTGCAACACTTTCCTCCATCTCTAGCAACTGGTTATCAAGGTGGTTTTGCATTAGTATGTTCAGCTTCCTGATTCAGAGGTCCTGGGAACCAGCTTGATTCCAACTCATTAGCCAGTTGCTAAATGACAGGATGCTCGCAGGCATCTAACCATAGCACTTGCTGCCTTCTCTTCATCTCTGAATACAAGGCAGTATCACTAATTGAAGGTAAAACTCATTCTAGAGACAATTTTCTTAAGGAGAAAGCTTAAAACTCATATTCAAGAGTGAAGACTACTGCCCCTTAGGTCTTTGCTTATCCTTTAAACTCCGCTGCCGGTAAGAGCACACCAGCCTTGTGATAACTGAGCACTCCTGGCTGTAGTGAATACCGTCTGGGTTTGATTTCATGAAGCTCACTAATGCTTTGTCCTCTTTTTGCTGAGTTATTGCTAGCGTGTGTAACTGTGCAGCCCAGCAAACGTATCTGAAAGTCCTGTTAGGACATCAGTCGGAAGAATTAGAGAAGTAATGTGTTAACTTTTCTTCCCTAACATTTGTTGCACCCAAGAGATTGCCAGCCTCTGATTATTAAGATTAATTATACCTGCAACAAACGGTCCTGCTCCTTTTGCCATTTTTCCTGTCTTTTTCGTTCTTCTTCTTGATCCCAAACCCGACGACTAGGAGCTGTAATGGATGGGACTGGGAGCTAATATAGCAAAGAAATGAAATAATTTTATCTTCTTCCATGTAATCAACACTTTACATTTTAAAATGTAGTATTTTTAAGTGAGAAATAAAAGTGATTACAAACACTACAGCTTTATTAGTCACAAAGGACCTAAATTAGCCTTTTCTTCAAAGGGACAGAAAGCAACCAACCCATTACACATTAGAAAATCTTAGTACTCTCAGATTTGAACACAATTTTAAAGCAGTATAAAAAAAAAGCAATAGAAAGCAGTGGGCTTCTTGAAAAGACCAGGATAATACAACTAATTAGTAGTTTGTAAGTAGTACTTACATCAAGCATTGCAGGCTCTGGGCCTCCTGTGAGATTTGGAAGACAAAAACCAGAAATCATCAGAACCATACATATTCACTACTACAAGACTTCTGTAAATGTGGCAAGTGTGAGCTTTCAGACTAATTTTTGCTTCCTTAGTAAGCCATGCTTGCATTTTGCCCTACTGAACTTTCTTGAGGTCAAAATCATTAGGTGCTTTCAACTAATGTGTGCAATTGTTTAAAAGCTTTTCATGCTTACAAGTGGCATTAGCAATTGCTTGAATTAGCAGTACACCTCCCACTGTGGCAATACAAAGCTTCTTTGCTATTATTATTATTCTGAAACCCAACTGTTTAGCATGACCAGATACTTAGAATGCTGCTGCAGGGTAGAGTAGCTACTCACCTCCTGCCTTTGACATGAATTAAGAGCAACAGACATCCACAGGCAAGATCTCTACCACAAAACCATATATTTTCCCTTTCCAGCTGTCCTCCTTTCCTACTCCAAAAGCACACTTGAATTTGGTGAGCTTGTCGCCATTTATCACAAACCTTATGCTATTTGAGGCTATCATGCTTGGTCTTAGCTTGTGCCAAGATGATTACTAGAGAGAAGTCTATTATGCTAATATATTAAAAGCTGAGAAAATGGGGAGAAGCACAAATTTAAATACAATCCTTTCCCAAGCATCATTACTATTTTTGTCTGTTGCTAGTGTATTTGTTATTTAGCTGTCCAAATTTCAGTTTTAAAAAAAAAATGCACAGAAGCAACAAGTTGCAACAGTTTTCTGAAGTATGTCCACATGAAGTGGAGAAAAGGTCAAATTTAGGCTACAAAAGATATTTAATGAGTCACAGACTCACGTCCAATCTATATATGCACAATTTTGTCTTCATTATCAGATTGCAACAGCCACAGTGACAATACGACAAAGAGACTTGATCTCCTGCAATTGCACCAGGAGATGCTAAAGGGAGGCATAGGCAGCACCTGTCTTTGCTCCCCTCTTCTGTCACCCCTGTAAACTTATGCTGGCCTGGACAGGTTTTGAAAGAAGAATCTTTTACATCATTATAAGAGTAAGGCATCAGAAATTTAAAATGAACAAAAATGTACTGAGTGTACACTCTAGAAATATGTCCTTCTCCTCCCCCTCAAGCACAAGTGAAATACTTCAATATTGTTATAACATTTATTTAAATAAAAACCAAACTTCATAGCCAGCCTTTAAAAAACAAATAAACAAAAGCAAAGCAAAACAAAACAAAAAAAACCAACAACAAAACACTATCATATTCCAGATACAATGCAGCAAAGTATTTAAAAGCAAACAGAACACAAACACAGATTTATGCTGTGGCACTTCACTTATCACTTGTAGAAAAAAACAGAAGCCATCACCACCGAAGGCAAAGTCCTGGCTTCACTAAAATAATTGCCAAAATTCACACTGAACTTCCAGTGGGCCAGAATTTCACTCCTTCAGGCTACAGCAGAACAGCAAGGCATACGTAGTCCAAAGACAGCATTAGACATACAACATTAGTGGAAGTATGTGAGTTGTGACATGCAAAACATCACAAAGCAACCTACAAAACCAAAATTAAGTGCCTCATTTTTTGCTTTTAAAAGTTAGCATATTCAATTCAAATATTTATATTGGTCTTCTCGGGATCTTGCGACACGACCACATAGTGGAAAGCCAGCAGCTGCCTTTTTCCACCAATTTAGATGAAAGCACAGAGCTGCAGCTCAAGATAAAATACTTAACTCTGGATTTGAGTTTATCAACAGCTCTTTGAGATCTGTGCTAAGCCTCTGATGGAATATTCAACATTATTCTTGTTTTGTAGGTAGTAGCAAACCTGAACAGAGTGTGCTATCCTCCTACTCCTACCCAGTGAAAAAAAAAGTATGAACAACATAGAAGAGATTTAAACAGCTATAGATACAAGAGAACACACAAACACCCATTACCACAAAGGTAGACCCATGAATTGTAAGAATAACCTGACGACCCTGGGGAAAGAAGGGAAATTAATTATGTTGCTTCTTTGTAACTGCAACAAACAATTCTGAAGAGGTACAGTACCCAGAGCCAGACTTGTTAGGAAGAGTGTGCAGCAAGAACAATTTCATGGAAGTACATGAAATGTTAGCTCTTTGGTTTACCTTGTTCAAAAAATTCTGACCGTCTTTTTAAGTTTTTCAAGGAAATAGGTTCAGATGCTATTTGAAAAATACAAAGAATATTAACAAGTCAATGAGGTGCTTTTTTTTTTTAAAATGTCTATCACCATTGGAGGTCTAACAAATGTCTGTTATCCAATCTACAGCAACATCACTTCAGAAATATAAAAAGCCACTGAAACACAAAGGAAATCTAATATTTCATAGGAACAAATACAGTTTTTAGTAGGTTAAATCATATACTGATTAGTATTTTATTTTGTCACAAACAATGTCCTACTATAACAACAGCACAAGTGTCAAACTTGGACTCAGATTCTCCCTGTCTAATTTAGGCCACCTTGACTAAGGTGCTAAATTGGACTGAAGAGCCTAATCACCATTTAAGGTCATCAGAAAGGCATCTCCAGAGTGCAAACGATCTCTTGGGGGAACTTCTACAATCACCATGCACATTCAAGATAAAACGAAATACAAAGTTCCCATTTAAGGACTACTGGTCCATTAGGAAGTCTATGTACCTGGTTCCTCTCACTGCCATCAAGTAAGGCTATAACTGTTCATAGCATTGTAGGTAATTATTACTCATACCAGAACCATCAACATCGTTCTCCAGAAATACAATAACCATAGTAAAACAACCACTATCCCCAAAACCTCACAACTGAAATAGGAAAAAAAAAAAGCTGAATACTCTTTACACTCTTCCTGGGCAGTGAAATAAACTGATACTCATACTGACTCAGTCTCCACATAATACTGTGGCAATTACAGTACATTGTGTGCCTTCTCTTTCGCCCCTACCACACAGTGGATTTATAACCACTAATGCTGGGGGGTTGGCACTACTTTGTTTTCAGTTCTCCAACTGCCTAGCATGTTGTGGAAGCAAACTACACCCAGTATGGATGCAACCAGATCTCTGTGATACCTGTCTAGCTTTCAGTTCATTAAGGTCTCACTTTGCTCACTGTACAAAGCTTGCGATGATTACAGGTTTAGTGTCTGTGCTTGTTCCAAACCCACACAAATAGCGGATGAAAAGCAACAGTAGTTTACCTCTCTGCTCACTATAGCCAAGATCTCCTTGCATTCCATTTATCAACTTTGTTTCTGTCTCCTGAAAAAATACAAAATAAAGGGTTTAGACTCATTAGATTTGTGGAAGTTTATCCAATTACACATCTCCCTGACAGGAACAGTATATCATGAAACACTTCAGGAACCTTCCACAGAAAGATACAAAACTATGTAAAACTTCCCAAGTGTATTATATGATCAAACGACTGCAGGCATTTGAGGGGATCAATAACCAGCTGTGAATTGCTGGCTGAAATATAAACCATTAGTTTGCAAGAAAATGCCAGAAGCAGACATCTTCCGATTTCATCTCCTTGGCAGGTAGAGTGTTATTTGCAAGTAATTTGAAAGTATGTATATGCTTGTTCTTTGGGGCTGCAACTTTCATTTACGCTAATACTGGAGGTAAAAGTCTTTTCTAAAGAGTAAACACTCTATGCATTTTAGTTAAAACGTAGTCTGCAAATATTGTAATATTTAGCAGTGTCCACTCATGAATGGACAGTAGCAAGTCTTTAAAACATCTTATTTACCTTAGTAAGTACATAACTACATCTCTGTACTTGCAGTATCCTATATTTTCCTTAAGCAATACAAGTAAAAATAAGTTTTCCAAGGTCTTTTCTCCATCCTCCCCCTATCAAGGTGTTACATTTTTACTTTCTTCCTCCCCACAAATCCCACAACCCTTCAAAAAACGTACTCACAGAAGTTCGAAGGCTGCTGGAGAAATCTCTTTTTGTTGATATGGTGGAAACATTTGAAACGTGTTCTCCAGAAGTTGCATCAATCCATTTATTTTCAGATGTACCTATAATGTCGGTAGCCATACTGGTGAGATTGAGGATTTTATGCCTTACATGTGGTAGGGAAGGCTGGTCTTTGCCCCAGTCTTTTTGGTATGTAGAGGATCAAGAGATTAATGTAGACAGTAATGCCAAAGAACAGAACAAGAGTTAATGAAAACACATTAAAATAACACAAAAAAATAAAACAACCCTCCAAACAAACACACACATACCAGAAGAGGGAGAGACACAAATCAGGTGGAATTTGTGAAGACAGGAAAAAGGGCTTTTATGAGCAGACCGCCTTCCCCAAAAATGCAAGTGTTAGTTGTAAACCAGGTAAAAGTTTACTGGATGTTTTGCTAACATGGACTATGGCAGTTCAATATTAGAAAGAAATTAGTATTCACTGGAAACTATTTCATTAGCATTAGTAAGGATTGAGAAAATTCTTCCAGCTTTACTCACACAAGGTACAGCTTGACTCATACACTATCCAGGGAACTGTCATTTTCACATCTGTGCTCCTCAGGAAACACACAGAGGGCAAAAAACAGGCAGTCTAAACTAAACTAGCAAAACTGATGAGGTGACAAAAATCACAATCTTCACTCAGGCTCCTGAAATTTATTCAATGAGTTGTTCTCCACTGATTTCACTCTTCATTTGTGCTAGGCCCTGAGTTGTGATTTGTTTTCTGCCTCTTCCCCACCTCACTATTTTTTCCCTTTACTTGCTGGCAACTTATTCTACCTAGCTTTGTTTTTATAATGTGACAGAAGTCATTGGTCACACTTCCAACTCTGTAAAAGTTCTTTTGGGACTTTGAATGGGTATCCTGACCAAACCCACGGCAAGTCTAAGGACGCTACAGGGCCTTCAGCCAGGACGGAAACCCTCACTAACCAGAACAGGTAGTACTACTCTGGAGAGATTACAGCATCGCAATATTTGAGTCAATGGTAAAAATCATAGCACAGAAGTGCTACATCAACCACAAGCTCATATGCCACCCAAAACATTCCCTGAAAAAAGGAACACAAGATCCTCCTTCCCTGACAAAAAGTGGAGTTGCTGAGTGAAGGAGAGAGGCTCTAGAAATTACTGTTGTCTAGAGACCAGCCCCTCTTTGTGACATGGCAGGATATAAAATGTTAAATTCCCTTGTGTGGTGGCTGCACATATTTTTACCTGTGCATCCTCTCAGAAACAGGCCAGAGCATAAGAGAGAGGTCAGTAGTTCAATGCTTTGTAGACTTGCTTGTCAAGACATTTCTAATGCACACGTAGTTAAAAAAAAAGCCAGGTTGTGTTAAAATGCAACAGACACGCTAGCAAACTACTTAGCGTAGATACATATTACTACTGTAAGGCCAATAAGGGCTCTAGGCTGCCAGGTACAGCAGAGACAAAGCTTATTTGCCTTACAGAGCATACTGTATCTGCCCAATGAAACAACTCACCATTCTTTCCATATCGTCTGACATCCATGACCAGGTTTCCAGTTTCTAGTGCTCTGCTGATGGCTTCTTCCCACTGACTATAGTCCATACGTGAAACCTTTGTGCTGTTGATAGCAATGATCTCATCATCTACATGCAGCTGACAAAGTGCTGCAGGGCTACCTGCAGAAAACAGAAGAAAAATAAAATTAAGTCTCCATTCAAGAAAATTTTTTTACCCCAGTGTGACTGAATGATTCCCTCCCCCCGAAAAAGAGAAATGTTTATTGGTGGATACTCTGAAAGTCTTTGAAAAACCTACTGCATTGTGAATATATGAATTAAACTCAATATAAAAGTAGTATTTCAATTTTAAACTTATGAAAATGACAATGGACGTAAGCCTTTTGGACCTGCAAGCATTCACATTCTGGCTAGCCCACTTATTAAACAGGCTCTGGGCCCAGTCCTGCCTTCACTAACTCATCTTTATCATCTGGGATAGTAAGAGAGGGGGAGAGAGAGGCAGCACCACAGTGTCTTCAGTCAACAATTAGCTGAAATTCAGCCAATGTTCGGGTCATCCTCTTATTTGACCAAAAAAAACCAACCTCCACTTTGTTAATTCCAGTAGAAACTGGCTTTTTCATATTCTTATTTACTTCTTCTGGGCTCTACTGACAAGAACATGCTGCTTTATTGCTTTGCCAAAATAGTTTGCTAGCTCTGAATTGACTGGTAACTGGATTCAAGATACTGCTGGCTGCTGTCCCATTTGACTTCTCTGGATTCTACTTATTTTGTCAATTAAGAGCAAACTTTATTCCAGCTTGGACTTTGAATTCTACTGATACTTTGCAAAACAGGCTGCACTTTATACTCTTTTTCATCTACTACCAAATGTTGGCAAGTGATCTCACTTTACACTGCTGTAGAGGATTTATTTACGTTACATAAAACAGGCACTGCTGTTTTTCATAAGTTTCCCTGAAAGTAAATGATTTTTCTTTCTTACTACTCCCCAATAAAAGAAAACCAACCAAATACTCACTCATTTTCCATACAAATTTAGTTATCTCTAACCTATCCCCACCTGCTGTTATTACAACAGATAAATACTACCTCAGAGTCATTAACAAAACCAAAATTAAAACTTGAAGGAAGTGGGTCAAATTTACTTTGTCCTACATGCCTGCAAGTGTTTGATCACAGACACGCACTCCTACATCAACACAGTCTCAAAAAATTATTGCAAATAGGGTGGGTAAAGGGGAAAGGACTGAAACAATAAAGATTATATGGCACTGGGGAAGCTGTCAGAACAATGTCTAGATTAATGACTTTAAGGGTTTCTATTTACTTAAGTTTTAGCACAAATGTTGAAAATTCTTCTAAAAAATGACCAGTATCTTCTTTTCTATGTAGTATGGGTCTCACCGAAATATAAGCCTAACTCTTATTAAGCTTTTTGAGAACATTTATAAGAAGTTAATTTTGCTTGCCAAGCAGTTTTCTTAACAATTTTTTGAAGGAAAAGCATATGCAAAATACAGAGTCACTTATAAGCAGTAAAAAGATAAATGCAGGTTATCACCTGAAGAAAAAGCTAGTCAGGATGACAAGTATGTCAAGACAATCAGATAAAGTCTTCCTGAAGGCTATTTCTGGGCTCAGAAAAGTGAACAAGATGAATGGGAACAGCTGGTATGGATTTTCCAAGCCTAAATCACGCTTGATCAACCTGTTTTTCTTTAATGATGAAATGACTAGATCTGTGGATGAGGGCATCCATCTTGCCTTTAGTAAAGCTTTTGACATGATCTTCCAGAATATCCTGGTATCAAAGTCAGGACCGTATTGTCTGCAGGGCAGAATAACCAGATGGGTGAAAAATTGTCTGGGCTGTCAGGCTCTAAAGGTAGTGGCTAATGGTTCATATTCAGCCTGGAGACTGGTTACAAGTGGAGCTCCACAGGGATGTATCCTGGGACCTGTCCTCTCTAACATGTTCACCAATAACCAGGGGGAGGAGGTGAACCACACCCTCATCAAGCTTGCAAACCATGCCAAAAGGTGGCCGATACACTAGAGGGCAGGGCTGCCGTTCAGAGCAGGAACCTGACATTCAACAAGGGCAAAGCAGAGTCCTGCTCCTGGGATGGACTAACTCCAGTGATGGTACAGGCTGCGGGGCTGGTGGGCTGGAGGGACCTTGGCAATGGTGGGGCTATATGAACACCAGCATGACAAGCAGACTGAGGGAAGCGACTACGCCATTCACTCAGCACTCGTTATGCCACTTCAACAATACTGTGTCAAGTTTTGGTGTGACACTGTAAGAGAGACATCCGTAAACTGGGTAAGTTTCATGGGAGGCCACTGGGATGGTCAGAGCTGGAGCACTTGCCCCGTGAGGAGAGGCTGAGGGGTATGGGCTTGTTCAGCCTGGAGAAGAGATGCTGCAGGGGGACCTAACAGAAGTCTTGCAAGTACCTACCAGGAGGTCATGGAGAAGGGAAAGCCAGCTCTTTATTGAATTCACGGCAGGAGAACACAGCGCAGTGGTTATGCCCTGAGACAATGGTCGGTCTGACTGGGTATGCAGGGAAAATTTTCTTTGAGAAGATAATTATGCAAGGTGCAGAGAGGCTGTGCAGTTTCAATCCTTGGAGGGTCTCAAACCCACCCAGGTAAGGCCCTAGGCAACCTGGCCTGAATTCAGTCTTGACACTTTTTTGAGCAGGGGTTTGCTCTAGGTGATCTTCCAAGGTCCCTTCCAACCTGAATTATTCTGACTTATCCTGACTTATCCTTAAAAATAGGAAATACAATGTTCAGAAGTGCCCAGCTGAAAGCACATCTTACTCTTTCAACAAGCTGTCCACCTCTTACATCCTTCTTTAAAGGAAGCTACACCTTTTGAATAAGGATACAATGTGAGTCAGTTGTTGAAAGAAATATAATAAACACAGGTTATAAACAAGAATATCACAATACAGTTCATTCTCCATTCAATCTTTAAACTTTTTGCCCTTCCTTGCAAGAATGGTAATAAAGCATAATCAAGACAACAGGCACAAGGCCTTCATCTTCTTGCCTACAGAGTGGGGAATAGAGCCCATGTTGACCTTTGTGAATGACCAGCAGGAACATTCACTACCCTCAGGCTTCTCATTTGCAGCTGGCAGCATAAAGAGACAGTCCTCCGCCTCCAAGTAACAAAATTAAACCAGAAGCCTAGCAGCAGGGAAAGCAAACAGAAAGTTATTCTTCATGCAAAGCGAATATTAACAGTTACGATCTAATTGTGAGAAGAGAGATCTAAAAATTTAATGTGAAATTTTAAAAAAAAAAGTTAAGGCTGCTCAGAAAGTGCTGTTAAATAGTATTTTTTCCTCTCTGGAAAGCATAATGAACTAAATGAGAAGTTTCCAGTTACTTCTCCTTTCTCAGGATGATCTTGTGTTAGCTGGATGAAAGGGCAGAATTCAATATTCCTCAAGTATTACTAGCAGTGGGAAAGATCACTGCTCAGAAAACAAGCATTACATGTGATTTGCTTGCTTTTTTGTTGTGTTTTGTTGTGGTTTTTTAATTAAGAAAACTGGCCTGGTTCTCTGCAGAAGACTACTAAAGCTTAGAAATAAACTTCATGTACGTTTAATTTCAGGACAAAAATGTTTGCTTTTCCTGAAAAAAAGGAAAAAAATGGCAGGGGAAATCAATTATAGGTTGCAATTGCTTAAAACTTTTGTCTCCAAAATTCAACATGACTAAGAAAGCAAAAACTGAAATAAAAATACTAATTTCTAACTAAGTTTCCTCTGCACGTGTTTACAAACCATATGAACCAAAATATTTTAACCTTAGTTGAAAGGAGAAATCTGGATATTAGAAGTCTGTATGTGCCTCTTACTATTGCTCTGTTAAGGGACTTGGTGAATGTTTTGAGTAATCATGTTTATTCCTTTTCAGTGGTTATAGAAATGTCCTTGACTAGGAAAATGCAGTTTTGGTATTTCTGAATTCAACTGGTTTCAAGAGATGAGGATTCACAGAAATACATTAGCAAACCAAATACCGATTTTTCAGTTCTCCATCTGATTTCTTAAAATATTTGCAGTGATCTTAACAGCAAATGCCTTAATTTAGAAGCTTCTGCAAACTAAACGTAAGAACAAAATTGGTGCAGTTAATGCACATTTACCTTCTTCAACCGTCTGTACAAAGGCCCCTGAAGAACTCCAATTTGTTGTAAACCCAAAGCTGCGACTGTGGCCAGGCCTCTGGTTCATACTGATTCTCATTTCACTGTACTGTTCCTGAAAAATAAAACATGACACTACAGTATCTGGTATCACAGGAATCTAAATGAGCGAAAGTTTATCCTCTAAATAAGTGAGGCTGCTCACAATGTGCACTTTAATCATCTATTATTAGCATCACAGACAAAGCAAACAGCATTAAAGGCAGTTAAGAACCTAATTTGTTTTTTATTCAAACAGGTATGTTTTCAGTTTACATTTTTATTTTCTCTACACATATACTTAGCTGCGTATTTCTCTTACTTTAAATGTTCCCTAACATGATGCTACAAAATGTAAGAAATTTGAGGAAACTACACCCCTAAGTGGGTCTTCATGGACAGTCGTTGTGAATTTGTGGAATGCACTGCCTCCTGAGAGAACATCAGTCAAACAGAGGTGTAAAAAAAGCCAGATAACAGTAATTCATCATGTTTTTTCTTGCACATCCTACGGTGGGCATCATCGGTTTCCTTTAGGCTCAATGCTGCAACCAGGTTTACTTGGGTGAAAAATCATCCTTCTAATTTTGTGTGAAATACTACTAGCTTGCTATGGATTTTGTAATGGAGACCTTAGATAATAAATCTAATTCCAGAATTAGCTAGAATACAAATCTTCCGTGCCAGTGGACTTTCAAGATGCTTTCAAAATCAGAATCAAAACCTAACATTATCATTTTAAATTACAGAAATATTTGATTGGGAAAACATTTTGGAACACTTGCTTTCAATCCCACATTGTATTATGAACATGTATTTCATACATTAACATTTTAATGTGAACTCATTAAAAAGCAATTAAAATACCCAAATGCTATTCACTTCTATATCATGGCACAAACATTGTTACAAAAGGAAAAAAAAAAAAAAGACAAGACTTTTTCTGTCAAACACTGATAAAATAGATACATTCCAGCAATGTGTGCATGAAGGAGATCCCTGCAAGTGTACTAAATTTGGTGGACTAAGTGTACAGCTACATTTTAGTTGCCTAGTGAAGCAGCTTTCCTGAAGGGTGGGATTCATTTTCCCTAACTTAAAATATTTACAAGTCTAGGTATCTAAGCCAATTCCCCACAGCTCCTGTGTTGGTGGGATGCAAGAGGCAGCTGCAGGGAGCACTGCACAGACAGATGAAGTTAGCCAGAGTCTCCGGGCGGGATGCAGCCAGAGGAGTTTCAGCAGTACCCAAGCACTGGCTGCAGAAGACAATAACATTGCAAGGTAACATCCTGAACCTTCACCTTGTGTTAAAGGAATGTTCCTGGTAAAACACTTTCTGTTGCAGCCCAGGGTAGAAACGAAGTCCTTTCTTCCAAATACAGCTACTAGCTTGCAAATGCTCCCATACAACCCAAGTCCTGAGATGAGTAACAGTACATTAAAAGTTAAGCTACTAATAGACAGGTTAGCACTCTGGGCTAGAGCACATACAAAGCTTTGAATTTTAGTGAGGTCCTGGAAATTACTGTTATTATTTTTATTTCCACCATCCCAACCCACCTCTTTTTCAAACCTACCTCTTGTCAGAGGAGTAATGCGACTCTGCACACTGAACTTCATCATTTGGACAGGTCGTCTCCAAAACACTTAGTACTCCACAAACCTGGTGTTATTGCCCTGGTGACTAGTGAACTATATCAATCTCTCGACTCTGGCAATGATTCACAAACACTCAAAATGGAACTTGAATTCCTTAAGTTACAGCTTGTTTGGGGCACAACACAAGCTTTTTTAATTTTGTTTTTAATTTTTTATTTTAAAAACCTCACATTACTCATTTGCAGGAAGGACAATTTATAATCTCGTGACAAACGACAAGGAAAAAAAGAAAAAAGGGACCTAGTACATTTTGTTCTCTTTTGGCTCTCTTAAAGTGATACAAAGAACCCATATCTAATCTATGTTTTCACTGATTAGAACAGCAATTCCTCTGCCCGTTTTTGCTACAAAACAGGAACAAAAAAAAAAGATTCTGATCTCTTTCCTTATACAACAATCACAGTTTCAAAAAATTATGATCACTTCATTGCAACGGCCAAAGGGTATCAGGAGTAGTAAACTGAAATGTGTTCCTTCTCCACAAGTGATTAGGAAGAAGAATGACTAATTTTATAAAAAGCTGGTGTAGGAAGTGATTTCATAAATCAGCATACAAGGTCTTATGATCCTCACCCAAGCAACTGGCACAATTAACTTCTACAGCAGCAGCAGGAAAAAAGAATTAATCTCTAATCTGTCAAGGGGTATGAACCACATCATTAGAAATTATAGAAAGGTATTGGTAATTAAAGCTATTGCTGGTCATTTTTTACATGTGAAACATGTGACTAGTTGAAGGAAACAGCACATACCCAAGCAAATGGTGACTTGCTTTAAAATTCATTCATGCGAACATTAACTAGATTAATTTCAAGTAAATAACTATTTTTAAAGAACAAGGGGGGGACTCAAGCCACAGGAGATGGAAAAAAGGATAGTATGATACTAATCTTTAAGGCTGGCCTTCGAAAAGCTGATCTGTATTTTCCACCACCAGTTTAAAAGTGCAAATGAATGCTACAGCAGCTCAGATCATTCATCTAACTGACCCACTGACTGTGAGCACGAAGTGGTAATTTGGAGAATAACAAAAACTTTCCAAGCAATCAATATTTAGAATAAATATTTTGAATTAGAATGAGAAATAAAATTAAGCACAAGACATATAAAGGGTAGGGAAAAAATGCAGCAAAAGAACCAATTATTTTCTTTCCAAATATTCTCTTTCCCCTGAATTAAATCAAAGGAAAGAATAGTTCTCCGAGCAGTTTCCTCCTACCAAACAATACTTGCATTAGATGTAATTTTAATTTTTTTTTCTTTTACTCTGCTGTAGCATTCAGTTACACTAAGTAATCACATTATTTCCACACTTACCAGGGATTTTGAATCCTCAGGCTCTGGCAGACTCACATTTTCTGCAGAAGATGCAAGTGAAAGAGAATCAGGAGGAGAGCAATACTCTGGTTTAAGAATACTACTTCCAGCATCTTGGTCTTGGGATTTTACAGGTAATGCCAAACTAGGAGGAGGTGTTGACTGAACACCTTCTTTTTCCTCCTCCTCTTCCTCCTCACCTCTGCTTCTGAATGCACTAGTGGAGAGAGTTTGTGCAGAGTCTGGTTGTGAAAACGAACTGCTAGTGACCAAAGTTTGAGTTCTTTTAGCTTTTTCTACTTCTCCGTTGTATTTCTGGGTATCATCCATCTAGGACAAAAATGACAGTTTGGTAAATAGGTGCTTTAAAAAATCATAATCTTTCTGCAATCTAAATATGTTAACAAAAAAACCCCTTTCCCTTTCACGTAAATTCTGGTTACTGTACCCTTTACTAAATACTGACTTTGAAGAAGAGTAACTTTTTTTTTTCTCTTCAAGTGCTTCCAAAATAAGTAGTCCAGACTTCTTAAGAGAAACTTGTTAAAATCATCTGCTTAGAATGATTTGCATTCTTACCAATTTTTTAAATTGACACAAATAGGGATTTAGGAGAAAACTATGAAAATCAACATAGTAATCAGGAGGGTGGTGGTGGGGGAATTGATTTCCATGTTTTCAGTGCCTTACTGAGCAGGCAAATTTTAGACTAAAACAAAATTTCATTTTCAGCAAAGTCAGCACAGCAGAGAAAACATATCACCTGAAAAATTTGTCTTTAACACTTGATTATGTTAACTTGGCTTCAGAAAATTACATCTGATGAAGGCAGTTTTTTTGATAAGGAACGCTAAGGAGACTTACAAGTAATAAAAAGATTATTCCACCAAATATATTTATCAGCCTTACTTCTAGGAGTGCCTTTAAGTACAGAAACATGAGTAAACATCTAAAGCCATGACAGAATTGCTGGCTCTATTTACACACCCTTCACTGAACAGCAGATTTTTTAAAAAAACACATTAAATGTTAAAATTCTACTGTTCCCCCAGTTATCAAAGACGTCAACAATCACAAACTTTGGGAATGAAGCGTAATCTTACCGTGAACGACCGTGGAAGTGATGAGATTCCTCTTGACTGGACACCAAAAGGTCTTGGTGTAACCACAGATGTTAACCTAGAGGTATCAGCTTTCTGGTAACTTCTCGGGAGAGAAGCTGAAACCTGAGCTGACCCAGTTTGAGCATTCACCGAGTAGCGAGTAGACAAAAGAGCCGAGCTCTGCTCCTCTGCCCGGCTCTTTGGCAGAGTAGGAGCTTCACGAGCAGTTGAGCTCTCCGGCAGGTTCTCCTTGTGCGGTTGGGTGGCATATGCACTTCTGCTGTCCTTAGTGTTGTAGGAGGTATCTTCTTCCAAAAGGTAATCTTTTGCTGCTGACCGTGTGGAAGGTGCTTTTTCTTCACTAAACACATCGTCACTCAGTGAATACATCCATCTGTGTTCATGTTTTCGCTGCCTGTAAGAGTCTTTATCTCTGTCCTCCCTATGGGGACAGAGCACATTAAAATATTACAGTGACCAAACAGGTGGGCCCTAAGCCTTTCAACTACTGAATGTTCAAGGTAGAGCATAAACCAAGAAACAGATCTCCACTAAATGAAAACGAATGGTATCACTTAAAAATATTGTTATTTTAATATATTTTTAAATCTATCTTTTCTCTCTCCTCCCCATTTCAACACTCCCATAACATTCAGGCATACTACCATCACATTATCAGGTTGCTACCATGACAGAAATCTTTGCCAGGAAAATGATACAGCTATTCAAGTTACATGTCCTCAGAAATACTGATTTTATTGAAAAAAGCATAGGAAGAAGTTAGTCCCATAATGCTGCCTGAATTGTATAACTGCTGTATGGAAACTCCCTCCTGAACTTTAGATAACAAAATATGATAGTGGCCTGAAGTTCAGAATTTTTTTTCCCCCTGCTATTCATTCCTTTGTCATAAAGACACAACCACCACAGAGATAATCTTTACCACATCAGTTTTAAAATTCTAATGATACTGGACATTCAATACAATTAGCATCCATATTTTTATTCAAGAGACTAATTTTTGTCCTCCCAAATAAGTAAAAAAATTCAGAAACTCAAAGCATTCTGTTTTAAAACTTATTTAAATATTTCTTTTATGAATACATGCCATGTGCATATTCCCTTAATCTCAGTCATACATGAATTTTAAAAAAACAAAAACCAAAACAACGAACAACAAACAAAAAAATCCCCTATCACCAGTAGAAATGGTACTGTGCTACTCAGTTTACACTTTTTACTCTTTGGAAAGAATCTTGTTCTGTAAATAACCAGAGGAACCATTGGGGATAGAGGGGAAATCAAGTAAAAGTTTACAGCTCTATGATATACATTAAAAGTCTGGCTGTATTTATCCACAGTGCCTAAAAAATAGCAAATGTAGTGGTAGAGGAAGAGAAATAGTTAAGCTGATCCAAGACCAAAAAAGGCAATTATCTGGTTCCACACTATTATTTTAACTTCTTTAGAGTGGATGCAAATACTGACTTGTCATTAGATCTATTTATGCATAGCAGAGAAAAACATCATTTATAGAGCAAAACTGTTTAACCTTCTGTGAAAACAGTGTGTTAGTGGACCAGATTCCAACCTTCAACTGCCTAGATTTCTACACTGTAATTTGCAAGTAAAAAATGTTGAGATCTCTGCAAAATCAATCGCAACTTGCAAGTAAAAGCTGCTCAAGAATTCAAGGGAATAAAAATGCTCAGTTTTAAGTTCTTCAACATAATACTCCCATTAGGGTCATTACCTCTCCTGCTGCATTTCTTTCAGTGACTTGGTACTCCTTTCAGACACCTCTGAGGCTCTCCTTTCTATTTCTTCTCTCTCTTCCTTTTTCTTTTGCAATTCAGAGGTGTAGCTCTTTCTACGATTCTTCCATTTTGCTAGATCCTATAAGAATAACATGAACGTATACAAACAAATTTTCTCAAGACCTCATAAATCCACAGAGGCATCCCATTACATGCTACCTACTGCCTTGATTTTATTTGCATGTCTGCATCGTGGCCACATTTTCATGCACCTTCCTCCTAAACGGTAAAAAGGTTCTCATATTTCAGATAGGGTTACAGGCTCACTGCCTGTTAAAGTTAACAATTGTAATTACTGGACTACCAGTAGAAAAATACATTTTGCCCTTTTTTACCCCCTTAACATTTTCAGTTTTATTCTACCATACTTCATCCAATGACACATAGTTGAAAACTTACGCAAATGCCATCTGTATTTTTTTGTTGTAGGCTTTGGAGTTTGGGATTTTTTTTTTTTCCAAATCACTGCTATGTTAGACAGATATATTAGCCTGAGAATAAACATGCCTTAAATTCCAAATTGAAAACATATACTTCTATATTTTCTTAATTTCTGTAAAACCACAATGTGAACTGGCAAGATTCTCCACGAAATATCAGAGCTGAGTTAAGACAAGTACTGAATACTAGAACTGAGATGCATTAAACAAACAACTATGAACTTCTTGCCTGGTGCTCTGTTCTTAATTTCAGCTTTTTGTTGGTAATCATTGTGAAGAGGTTTGAATAAAAAACGTCTTCAGATACCCTTATGATGCTATGCAAAGCTACCACATCAGTTGACAAGCTGGATTTAAGACAGAATTATTAGAGGATAGGAGCCTCAAGAATTTGCACAAGGAAATATTACTTCCCTGTCTTCTCCGAAAAGATCAAATACTCAGACATTCCAATCATTTCACAAAAAAAAGTATTCACAAATTTCAGATAACACATGAAACTGTGCCCTAACTTTTCTTTATGTCCACAGAAATCGTCTGTATGTACAATACATACAAGTCTTATCCTGAAGCATTAATCAGATACTTATGATGATATTTATAACCATTTCAGTTCTGCATCAGACAGACATCCCCAAACCCACTTACTAGTTGGATGAGATGGATTGTTTTAGAAGACAGCTGCATAAAATGCTGCACACATGCCAAAGCCTGTTTTTTAAGGAGACTAAAGGTCGGCGGCACACAGCCCGTCAGCAGGATATGTGAGGAGGGGTGAAAAGGAGTACTTACTTCTTGCCACTTTAGATCTTGTTCTTGTAACTGTTCTTTTATCCTTTGTAGCTCCTCATAACGGATTTTGCGCAATGACTGCAGCTCCTCTGCGCTGACATCATTCAAAGATTTACTCCTAGGAAGAAAAAAACAGTACTCGGCTTTATCATATCTTAGCCATCATTTATGCAAGTCAAACCTTCGAGAGAGGGAGAGATTTCTATTAGTACAACTGAGCGCTCTTGAGTGTTATTTCGAATAGAGCAACAAACACACAGGCAGATGAACGAGCAAGGCTGGGACGTGCTCTAGTGCCAGGACTCAAGTCAGTAGTTACATGTTTGAGCAAATAAAATCAGGTTAAGGGAATAGGCAGCTCTGCAGCAGCTCTACAGCAATCATTCACATCAAGTTCCTCATACCCAACTGCTACTTCTGTTTAAACTTGTTACTCTCTCTATTGACCTTGCTCCTTTCTTTGAACTAAAAGGCCTTCCCCCTTCTAGAGTCCAAATTCCCATCCTTTCACTTCTTCTCTCCAGGAACAGCCCCAAAATCACCTTCCGTTCTTTCTTTCCTTATGCTAATAATAAAATCAAAACAGATACTGATGCATGTTTCTAACAGGGAAAAGTCATTCACTGCTAAATGCTCAGTTCCTGGACGTCATGGGTCCTATTAGCCTATCTTAGTCCTCCCCAAGCCTCCCTGATGCCTTCCATCCAAGTTGGGATGGCTAACAGAGCCATTGGGACCAATGCTCTGTTATTCAATATATTCATCAACAACTTGGATGAGGGAATAGAGTGCAAGTTTGCTGACGATATGAAACTGGGAAGAGTGGTTGACATGCCAGAAGGCTGTGCT